AAACAATAAAATAAAGTGATTACAAAAATGTGATGTTGATATTCAGTAGTAAGGTTTGACTTACATCCATTTTGATTTACTATCGGTTTGTTGGAACCGAACTCGGTCGTAAGTCAGATGGTACCTGTATACGTTCTCTCGCCCAGTGCACCGAATATTTTGAAAAAAAAAAAAAAATTATAGAAATAGAGAGAACATTTTTATAAGTGTTATAGGATTAAAATAAAAAACATGAGGGTCAGTACTTACCAAGATATGAGGCTGCAAACTTGGCACTTAATGCTCACCTGACGGCAACATCAAGTCCTGCTGCTTGCAGAAGTGTTGCCGATATACCTTTTCATCTCATTTTTATATTATTTTACATAACTTTTATGTTCTGATCAGTTATGGAAGGAGAAAAGAGAATATGAATGTGTAAATTCAAGAATTATGTGGATTAAAGTAAAGGTTGGATGCGAAAAGTGGGTCATAATAAGCGTGTATGCACCTGGAGAAGAGAGGAATGTAGAGGAGAGAGAGAGATTTTGAGAGATGTTAAGTGAATGTATAGGAGCCTTTGAACCAAGTGAGAGAGTAATTGTGGTAGGGGATCTGAATGCTAAAGTAGGAGAAACTTTTAGAGAGGGTGTGGTAGGTAAGTTTGGGGTGCCAGGTGTAAATGATAATGGGAGCCCTTTGAATGAACTTTGTATAGAAAGGGGTTTAGTTATAGGTAATACATATTTTAAGAAAAAGAGGATAAGTATACAAGATATGATGTAGGGCGAAATGACAGTAGTTTGTTGGATTATGTATTGGTAGATAAAAGACTGTTCAGTAGACTTCAGGATGTACATGTTTATAGAGGGGCCACAGATATATCAGATCACTTTCTAGTTGTAGCTACACTGAGAGTAAAAGATAGATGGGATACAAGGAGAATAGAAGCATCAGGGAAGAGAGAGGTGAAGGTTTATAAACTAAAAGAGGAGGCAGTTAGGGTACGATATAAACAGCTATTGGAGGATAGATGGGCCAATGAGAGCATAGGCAATGGGGTCGAAGAGGTATGGGGTAGGTTTAAAAATGTAGTGTTAGAGTGTTCAGCAGAAGTTTGTGGTTACAGGAAAGTGGGAGCGGGAGGCAAAGAGAGTAGTAAGGGAGAAAAAGTTAGCATATGAGAAGTTTTTACAAAGTAGAAGTGATGCAAGGAGGGAAGAGTATATGGAGAAAAAGAGAGACGTTAAGAGAGTGGTGAAGCAATGTAAAAAGAGAGCAAATGAGAGAGTGGGTGAGATGTTATCAACAAATTTTGTTGAAAATAAGAAAAAGTTTTGGAGTGAAATTAACAAGTTAAGAAAGCCTAGAGAACAAATGGATTTGACAGTTAAAAATAAGAGAGGAGAGTTATTAAATGGAGAGTTAGAGGTATTGGGAAGATGGAGGGAATATTTTGAGGAATTGTTAAATGTTGATGAAGATAGGGAAGCTGTGATTTTGTGTATAGGGCAATGAGGAATAACATCTTGTAGGAGTGAGGAAGAGCCACTTGTGAGTGTGGGGGAAGTTCGTGAGGCAGTAGGTAAAATGAAAGGGGGTAAGGCAGCCGGGATTGATGGGATAAAGATAGAAATGTTAAAAGCAGGTGGGGATATAGTTTTGGAGTGGTTGGTGCAATTATTTAATAAATGTATGGAAGAGGGTAAGGTACCTAGGGATTGGCAGAGAGCATGCATAGTTCCTTTGAATAAAGGCAAAGGGGACAAAAGAGAGTGCAAAAATTATAGGGGGATAAGTCTGTTGAGTATACCTGCTAAAGTATATGGTAGAGTTATTATTGAAAGAATTAAGAGTAAGACGGAGAATAGGATAGCAGATGAACAAGAAGGCTTTAGGAAAGGTAGGGGGTGTGTGGACCAGGTGTTTACAGTGAAACATATAAGTGAACAGTATTTAGATAAGGCTGAAGAGGTCTTTGTGGCATTTATGGATTTGGAAAAGGCATATGACAGGGTGGATAGGGGGGCAATGTGGCAGATGTTGCAGGTGTATGGTGTAGGAGGTAGGTTACTGAAAGCAGTGAAGAGTTTTTACGAGGATAGTGAGGCTCAAGTTAGAGTATGTAGGAAAGAGGGAAATTATTTCCCAGTAAAAGTAGGCCTTAGACAAGGATGTGTGATGTCACCGTGGTTGTTTAATATATTTATAGATGGGGTTGTAAGAGAAGTAAATGCGAGGGTCTTGGCAAGAGGCGTGGAGATAAAGAATCACACAAAGTGAGATTTGTCACAGTTGCACTTTGCTGATGACACTGTGCTCTTGGGAGATTCTGAAGAGAAGTTGCAGAGATTGGTGGATGAATTTGGTAGGGTGTGCAAAAGAAGAAAATTAAAAGTGAATACAGGAAAGAGTAAGGTTATGAGGATAACAAAAAGATTAGGTGATGAAAGATTGGATATCAGATTGGAGGGAGAGAGTATGGAGGAGGTGAATCTATTCAGGTATTTGGGAGTGGACGTGTCAGCGGATGGGTCTATGAAAGATGAGGTGAATCATAGAATTGATGAGGGGAAAAGGGTGAGTGGTGCACTTAGGAATCTGTGGAGACAAAGAACTTTGTCCTTGGAGGCAAAGAGTGGAATGTATGAGAGTATAGTTTTACCAATGCTCTTATATGGGTGTGAAGCATGGGTGATGAATGTTGCAGCGAGGAGAAGGCTGGAGGCAGTGGAGATGTCATGTCTGAGGGCAATGTGTGGTGTGAATATAATGCAGAGAATTCGTAGTTTGGAAGTTAGGAGGAGGTGCGGGATTACCAAAACTGTTGTCCAGAGGGCTGAGGAAGGGTTGTTGAGGTGGTTCGGACATGTAGAGAGAATGGTGCGAAACAGAGTGACTTCAAGAGTGTATCAGTCTGTAGTGGAAGGAAGGTGGGGTAGGGGTCGGCCTAGGAAAGGTTGGAGGGAGGGGGTAAAGGAGGTTTTGTGTGCGAGGGGCTTGGACTTCCAGCAGGCATGCGTGAACATGTTTGATAGGAGTGAATGGAGACAAATGGTTTTTAATACTTGACGTGCTGTTGGAGTGTGAGCAAAGTAACATTTATGAAGGGGTTCAGGGAAACCGGCAGGCCGGACTTGAGTCCTGGAGATGGGAAGTACAGTGCCTGCACTCTGAAGGAGGGGTGTTAATGTTGCAGTTTAAAAACTGTAGTGTAAAGCACCCTTCTGGCAAGACAGTGATGGAGTGAATGATGGTGAAAGTTTTTCTTTTTTGGGCCACCCTGCCTTGGTGGGAATCAGCCAGTGTGATAATAAAAAAAAAATTACAATTTATAGTAGTTCTTGTCATTTCATAAACAATCTTTGTTCTGACACTAATATTAGGTACTGAAATTGTACTCAAATTGTCACAAACACACTGACAGGTGGACATTTACACCTGCCTTGGTCATTTACTATTGTCTAGGAATATATACAAAGTATTTATAGTGTCACTCCATTGCTGACAGTGCAGCAGTTGAGTGACATTTGATGATAGTGCACTGCCTTGGCTTTGTTTGTTTTCACTGTTACAAATAAACATGTCTATCTGTTTGTTTATCTGTCTACTTGTCATTTTGTCTATTTGTCTGTCTGTCTAGCTCTATCTCTTTATCTCTGTCTCTGCTTATCTGTCTTTCTATCTGCCTGTGTGCCTGTCTTCCTTTCTCTCTGTCTGCTTGTCTCTCTTTCTGTCTCAGAGAGCAACTCATGAACTAACAGGAATTCAACACGATGCAGAGTTGTCACGTCTGATTCCTGAACAAGTGAAAATGCGTATGACTTGCCAGTCATGCTTATTATACCTTATATCTACAAACACAGTATAGACTTTGTCTGGATTTTTGGGGTTATCCTAGGTAACTTACACTATGTATAATAACTATTTCTGTGTACCTGTGAGATAGAGAAAGATAGACAGACACAGACAGAGACAGATACAGACAGACAGATGGAGATAGAGACAGCCAAAGTCAATCAGCCACCTGGCCAGCCAGCCACCCGGCCAGCCAGTCACTCGACCTGCCAAACACATATTACACATGTTCCAGAATTGCTTCTCTTTACTTAGGGCATAGGTTATAGGACATTCTGGCAGTATGACACTACCAGTAGTATCAAAATTGAAAGGATATTGCACAAATGTTGCACATGGGTTATAATATCTTATTATTATTTTATAATGAAGGTACCATCTTATTATCATACTAAAAAGGTTTTTGATATTTCTTCGATCACTTGTGGCCACATCCATCTCCAAGTCACTAAATTCAGGGTCAACATCACTTTCCTCTTAAAAGGGGAGTGTTAATACAACATGACATCAGTGAATCCCTGGTGTTTGCCACACTCTTTGCTCTAGGTTGCGCTCAATTGAACTGGTGCTCCCACAAGGTACTAAGTGGTCCCAGATTTTTTAATACTGCACACACTGAGTGTTAAGACCCATTCTATACTGACCAGGCATCTCAGGCCAATCGTGCCAAATTTGTAGACAGGAAAAATAAAATGTAGATATACGTTTGGAGTGCTAGAGTAAGAACGTAGATCTACCTTTGGAGCGCTAGCGGCAAGAATGTAGATCTACCTTAGGAGCTTTAACGGTAAGAACATAGAACTACATTTGGACAATTAATGGGTTAAGGCAATATAACCATTTTCTCCTTTGTGATGGAAAAAATATGCCAAACTACCAAGTGTAGCAGTGAGACAAAAATCTAGACCCAAATCATTAGTAGGAGAAAATATATTTAGATTACTTCTACTGCACTTCCTTGGCATGTAAAGGATAATCAAACAGCATGATATTATTTACAATAACAAAGACATGTACCATGTATATTAGGCAGCAAAATGTATGAATTACTACTGAATATAAACATCAGACCAGGGTACAGCAGTCACTAAATTATCTAAGCTCTTGCACTTACAAAACTGATGTTTGCAAAAACATGTGTCTCGATGACACTTATCACTTGCCTTCCTTGCTCGTGATACACCATCTGGGCTGCCTTCAAAGTGAATAAGACTTCTATGACCAACCTCCGTTATGTTGAATGAAACTCCAGTGTCATTACGAATGCGACTGATGTTTGAGCCATTCCTTCCAATGATGTGCTTACAGAGCCTGTAATATACAATCAGATTGTTCACAAAATACCAGTGATGAAAAAAAAGATTTTGAAAAATTTATATGCTACAGTAACTATAATATCAATATATTAATGGCAGAACCTTATAGCATCGTATTGCCTGTATAAATTACTAAATTTAGAAACAAAACTTTCATTTTTCTTTTTAGGTCACCCTGCCTTGGTGGGATACAGCTGGTTTGTTGGAGAGAAAAAGAAAAAAAAAGAGCCAGCATAATATGAGTGTGGGGAAAGTGCCTGAGGCAGTGGGTAGAATATAAGGATCGGGGGGTAGAGAAGCTGAGATTGACGAGATCAAGATTTTTTTTTCAACAAACTGGTCGTATCCCACCAAGGCAGGTGGGAATATAATCTTGGAGTGGTTGGCACATTTGTTCAATATACAGTGGTCCCCTGTATCCACAGGTGATATGTTCCAAGACCTACCAGAGATGCGTGAAACCATGGAGGGTAGCGAACCCTATATACAAGTCATTTTTCGTTTACATACGAAAGAGATAATTGTGGATGTTATGGATGAGAAGCTGGATGTCCTGGCTTCAAGTGAAACAAAGCTGAAGGGAGTGGGAGAGTTTCAGTGGAGAGAAATAAATGGGATTAGGATAGGGGTTTCAAATAGAGTTAGAGCTAAAGAAGGAGTAGCAATCATGTTGAAGGATAAGTTATGGCAGGAAAAGAGGGAATATAAATGTATAAATTCAAGGATTATGTGGAGTAAAATAAGGGTTGGATGTGAAAAGTGGGTTATAGTAAGTGTTTATGCACCTGGAGAAGAGAGAAGTGTAGAGGAGAGAGAGAGAGAGAGTCTGGGAAATATTGAGTGGGTGGAGAGTTTTAAACTAAGTGAGAGAGTACTTGTGGTTGGGGATCTCAATGCTAAAGTGGGTAAAAATGTTGTGGAGGGAGTAGTTGGTAAATTTGGAGTGCCACGGGTAAATAAAAATGGGGAGCCTTTAATTGAGTTATGTGTAGAGAGAGATTTGGTAATAAGTAATACATATTTTATGAAAAAAGAATAACTAAGTATACAAGGTATGTTATAGCATGTAATGAAAGTAGTTTGTTAGATTATGTATTGGTGGATAAAAGGTTGATGGGTAGACTTCATGATGTACATGTTTATAGAGGGGCAACAGATATAGTATCGGATCATAATTTAGTTGTAGCTGCAGTTAGAGTAAGAGGAAAATGGCAACAGTAAGAGAGAGGTGAAAGTGTATATACAAAGGGAGGAGGAAGTTAGGGTGAGATAAAAGCAACTACATGTATTGGCAGAAAGGTGGGCTAGTGCAAGTATGAGTAGTGGGGAGGTTGAAGAGGGTTGGAATAGTTTTAAAAATGTAGTATTAGAATGTGGGGTAGAAGTTTGTGGCTATAGGAGGGTGGATGAAGGAGGAAAGAGGAGTGATTGGTGGAATGAGGAAGTAAAAGGTGTGATAAAAGAGAAAAAGGTAGCTTATGAGAGGTTTTCACAAAGCAGAAGTGTTATAAGAAGAGCAGAGTACATAGAGAGTAAAAGAAAGGTGAAGAGAGTGGTGAGAGAGTGCAAAAGGAGAGCAGATGATAGAGTGGGAGAGGCACTGTCAAGAAATTTTAATGAAAATAAGAAAAAAATTTGGAGTGAGTTAAACAAGTTAAGAAAGCATAGGGAAAGTATGGATTTGTCAGTTAAAAACAGAGAAGGGGAGTTAGTAGATGGGGAGGTGGAGGTATTGGGTATATGGCGGGAATATTCTGAGGAACTTTTAAATATCAATGAAGAATGGGAGGTGGTAATTTCACGCACCGGCCAGGTAGGTATAATATCTTTTAGGAGTGAAGAAGAGCAGGATGTGAGTGTGGGGGAGGTGCATGAGGCACTACGTAGAATGAAAGGGAGTAAAGCTGCTGGAACTGACAGGAACATGACAGAAATGTTAAAAGCAGGGGGGGATATAGTGTTGGAGTGGTTGGTATTTTTGTTTAATAAATGAAAGAGGGGAAGGTACCTAGGGATTGGCAGAATGCATGTATAGTTCCTTTATATAAAGGGAAGGAGGACAAAAGAGACTAAAAATTATATAGGAATAAGTTTACTGAGTATACCAGTGTACGGTAGGGTTATTATTGAAAGAATTAGAGGTAAGACAGAGAGTAGGATTGTGGATGAGCAAGGAGGCTTTAGAGTGGGTAGATGTGTAGATCAAGTGTTTACACTGAAACATATATGTGAACAGTATTTTGATAAAGGTAGGGAAGTTTTCATTGCATTTATGGATTTAGAAAAGGCATATGACAGAGTGGATAGGGGAGCAATGTGGCAGATGTTGCATGTATACGGAATAGGTAGTAAGTTACTAAATGCTGTAAAGAGTTTTTATGAGGATAGTGAGGCTCAGGTTAGGGTGTGTAGGAGAGAGGGAGACTACTTCCTGGTAAACATAGGTCTTAGACAGGGATGTGTAATGTCACAATGGTTGTTTAATATATTTATAGATGGGGTTGTAAATGAAGTAAATGATAGGGTGCTGGGAAGAAGGGTGGGATTAAATTATGGGGAATCAAATACAAATTGGGAGTTGACACAGTTACTTTTTGCCGATGATACTGTCCTTAGGAAGATTCTAAAGAAAAGTTGCAAAGGTTAATGGATGAGCTGGAGAAGGTGTGTAAAGGTAGAAAGTTGAAAGTGAACATATATAAGATTAAGGTGATGAGGGTATCAAACGATTTAGAAAAAGAAAAATTGGATATCACAATGGAGAGAGGGAGTATGGAAGAAGTGAATGTTTTCATATATTTGGGAGTTGACTTGTCAGTGGAGGGGTTTATGATGGATGAGGTTAGCCATACAATTGATGAAGGAAAAAAGGCGAGTGGTGCGCTGAGGTATCTGTGGAGACAAAAAACGTCATCCATGGAGGCAAAGAAGGGAATGTACAAAAGTATAGTGGTACCAACACTCTTATGTGGGTGTGAAGCTTAGGTTGCAAATGCTGCAGCAAGGAGGTAATGGGGATGTCCTGCCTAAGGGCAATGTGTGGTGTAAATATTATGCAGAGAATTCAGAGTGTGAAAATTAGGAGGTGTGGATTTACTTAAATTAATATTCAGAGGGCTGAGGAGGGGGCTGTTGAGGCGGTTTGGTCATTTAGAGAGAATGGATCAAAGTAGAATGACTTGGAGAGCATATAAATCTGTAGGGGAAGGAAGGCGGGGTATTGGTTGTCCTCGAAAAGGTTGGAGGGGGGTAAAGGAAGTTTTGTGGGTGATGGGCTTGGACTTCCAGCAAGCATGTGCGAGTGTGTTAGATAGGAGTGAACATAGATGAATGGTTTTTGGGACTTGACGAGCTGTTGGAGTGTGAGCAAGGTAATATTTTGTGAATGGATTCAGTGAAACCAGTTAGCTGGACTTGAGTCCTAGAAATGGGAAGCACAATGCCTGCATTTTAAAGAAGGGGTTTTGGATACTGGCAGTTTGGAGGGACCTCTAAACTGTCATATCTGAGCACCTCTGCAAAGACAGTGATTATGTATGAGCGAGGTGAAAGTGTTGAATGATGATGAAAGTATTTTCTTTTTGGGGATTTTCTTTCTTTTTGGGTCACCCTGTCTTAGTGGGAGATGACTGATGTGTTAAAAAAAAATACATAACTATGATAAAATTTAACTGATAAATTATGCACAATAAGACATTACCAACATTAATCCCTTAACTGTCCAAACGTAGATCTACATTCTCACCGCTAGCACTCTAAACGTAGATTAACATTTCATTTTCCCTACCTCCAAATTTGACATGATTGACCTGGGATGCCTGGTCAGTACAGAATGGGCATGTTGTATTAACACTACCTTTTAAAAGGAAAGTAATGTTGACCCAGAGTTTAGTGGCTTTGAGATGGACGTGGCCACAAGTGGTTGAGGAAATATCAAAAACCTTAATAATAACCTATGTGTAACATCCTTTCAATTCTGATGTCCTGTAACCTATGCCCTAAGTAAAGATAAACTATTCTGGAAAGTGTAATATGTGTTCAGCAGGCCGGCTGGCTGGGTGGCCGACTGGCTGGGTGGCTGCTGGCTGACTGACAATGGCTGTCTCTATCTCTGTCTGTCTCTGTCTCACAGGTACACAAAAATACATTTATTATTCATAGTGTAAGTTACCTAGGATAACCCCCAAAAAAAATCCAGACAAAGTGCTATACTGTGCTTGTAGATTTTTTTTTTTTTTCAAAAAGTCGGCCGTCTCCCACCGAGGCAGGGTGACCCAAAAAAGAAAGAAAATCCCCAAAAAGAAAATACTTTCATCATCATTCAACACTTTCACCACACTCACACATTATCACTGTTTTTGCAGAGGTGCTCAGAATACAACAGTTTAGAAGCATACACATATAAAGATATACAACATACAACATATCAATCCAAACTGCCAATATCCCAAACCCCTCCTTTAAAGTGCAGGCATTGTACTTCCCATTTCCAGGACTCAAGCTTGTAGATAAAAGTCATAATAAGCATGACTGGCAAGTAATACGCATTTTTACTTGTTCAGGAATCAGACATGACGTCTCTGCATCGTGTGTAATACCTGCTGGTTCATGAGTGGCTCTCTCTCTCTCTCTCCATCTCTCTCTCTCTCTCCATCTCTCTCTCTCTCTCTCTCTCCATCTCTCTCTCTCTCTCCATCTCTCTCTCTCTCTCCATCTCTCTCTCTCTATCTTTTTTTTTTTTTTTTTACACAAGGTTTGACAAGGTTAAGGATCCCTAGCTCTATTGACAGCTATATTACAGGTTAAGGATTCCTAACTTTATTGGCAAGCTAAGAGCTGTTACCTTCTGGCATTTCTTCTCTTGGATAAGTGAATGTCAGTGTACAGTCTTCTGCATATGCATGTGATTCTGGGATGAGATGAAGAAGGTCGTTGAAGTAGACATTCCATAACAATGGACCCAGCACGCTTCCTTGTGGAACGCTTGCCCCAATA